GCAGGAATCCATAATGCTTCTCATTATTTATGCCCAAGTTCTGCCTATAGACACATCTGAGGAACTGTAATGAAGTCAGTCGTGTACATCCACGCTCGCCCTTACCCAGCAGGGAGCTCACTTCCTGCACACCATCACTTAACTCCTGCTACAAGTTCAAATATGACCCCCAGAGTGGGTGAACTGCCTTCCTCTATTCGCTTACACAGGCTCTTTCACATCAGCTGCTGCACTGATTGAAATGTAATGCATAATGCAAAAATTAATTAGGAGAAATTCAATGAACCTGAAAAGTGAGTAATTCAAAAGCAATAAAAGAAAATATTTCCCATGATCAATCTGCAGTTGCATTCATCAATATATGAAGTCAGCAAATTCTTTCTGCCAAGAATTTAATAAGACTGAGCAAGAGACGGGACATTTGCATGGAATTACACGTTCCCAGGGCAGTCAGACTGACAGTGCACATGCCCAGCAGCTTCCTGTGACAGCAGCCAAAGGCAGAGTATAAAATCAGAGCAAGCAATGGTGCTGCTCTCCTAAAACACTCCCTGCCCTATTATTCCTCCCCTTTCAATATCAATTCACTAGCTACACCTAAAGAAAGGGCACTGGAAGAAGTACCAAACCTCACACTTCAGATCTTAAAAATTCCCACGGACAAATGGGGCAAATTAACCCTCATCTTCCAACACCCAAATTTTTTGCCAGTTCCACTGAAGCAACTGTCTTTGGCAACGGGAGAGAAATGACTTCCCTGAGGTCTGGCTCTGTATCAGCTCAGCACCGTCTGTGTCCTGGCAGATGGTCTGGATCACTGGATAACGAGGAGAGGATTACAGGCAATGGGAAACATAAATCCACAGGCACTTACCCAGAAAGGAGCTTGATCTTTGCAGCACCAAGAATGCAGAGGCAGTCTTCAATGATGACCTGGACTGTGCCTGATTCAAAATTTTTGCATTTAATGTTTGCAGTGATGTTCACATCCACTAAGATATCAATTATCTCTGAGAAAAGGCCAAGCAAGCTGAAAAAAGTAAACGAGTTGAACAGATTTCATCTCTCAGCCTCTAACCAGAGAAATTCAGCAAAGCCAGAAGCAACCTCCACCTCCTGCACCTCATTACAAAGGCCACAAGCCATCTTTTGGTGCATGTTCTGTTCTGTGACATTATTATAGGGAAGAAATACCTGGAAATCCATAAATGATGCAAAACATTGCACAATAGGAAGCCTGTGGGTCAGGGTTTCCACTACCAGCCACCGTGAAACACCAGACTCACCAGTCGCCGCTGAGCCCCAGCTTTGCAGTGATGGTCAGCTGGACCCCGATTCCTGGCAGCAGCACCACTGACAGCTTGGGGAGCCAAACCTTGACAAGGTGCAGTCTGCAAACAACAGCCAAAGCTGGCATGAAATAAAAGCAACTTCTAACAGCTGAGCAGCTGTAGGCACTGAGGAACCTACAGCATCCACATTGCCACAGCCATCTCCAGCTGGAGGCATGAGTATTATCAGTGAGGGACCAGCTCCAGGATGAGAGACAGTGTCTGCAGCTGAAACCCAAAAGAAGGCAACCTAGAACCAGAGTGGGGTGGAAGCCAGCGTTAGAGAGCCGACAACCTTTTCTCTCTGTGGCTTCTTCCTCTTTCTCTTGGTGCTGTCAAGCATCTCAGATACCAACAGCAGCATCAGAGCCATCATTCTGCATCTGCACCCATAACCTGCAGTGCACTTCACCACCCACCTCACTACCCCACAGAAATCTTTTGTTGGGCCAGAATTTCAGTATTCAAATAAAACAAGGATAACTACTTGTGCCAGTCATGCCAACTGCAGCTCTGCTTTTGCTGCTTCAGAATTGCTGGTCAAGGTGCACTCACGGAGAAGCCCTCGCTTTCCACTTACCCAGTGATGCTGGTGGGAGAGCTCAGCAGGCCCCCGTCACCCATGATGTTTGGGAGCACAAGGCCCTGGAGGTGCTGCTGGAGAAGCCCGTTGTCAAGCATGTTATCCGAGAGAACTGGAAAACATCCCTGTGTGAGGACCAGCACTTCCAGCAATGACCTCGCTCCACTCGGTCAGATCTGCCCTGGCAAAGGAGTCACACAACAAAGCCCCACCACTCCCCAAAACTCCTTATCAAGTCATTAGTGGCCTCAAAGCAGCCAAATCACCCAGGAGATGATATTTTACAAGGTGCACTAAACCAAAGCTGCCCTTAGTGAGTTAACCAGGAGGAGCAGCCGTGGAGAGCACCCCAGACCTCCGACCTAGGGTTATGCACTACCAGCAGTGACAGTGACCCCACTCAGTGGTTGTGCTTCAACTCAGGACTTGTTGTCCATTTGTAAAGGGGTTTTGGTTTTTGTTTTGTTTTAAATAGAAGCAGCTTAAAACAAGCCTCTTTTTTTTTTTTTTGCTAGAGCACTGCAAATATTAACACGGCCTCTAAACTTCACAGCAGTTGTTTGTCAAATATCAGCTGCTCCAAAATGGAAATCAGAAACTAAGACGAAAAAGAGGAAATAACCCAGATCTAGCCCCGAAATTCTGTATGGCTGTTTGGTGCTGAAACGTGTACCATTTCTGGAGCAGAGAGATTTCCCGGACCCATGAACCCAGCAATGGCTGGCAGAAGCTCTAAGCAAAGTCTGCAGCCCTGAGGAACTATCAAATAAAGATGAAGATACTCAGGAGGTTTCAACCCATGTCCCACACAGCTTTCAAAACAAACAGAATTCATGTTTTCTAATTACCACTCTCTATTGCCCCTGCACTGACAGCGCAGGACAGACCAGATGAGACTTCTTGAGAGGGTGAGAGGAGGCCACAGAAAAAGATGATTCCAAAAAGCTTCAACATCGTCATCTCTAGAAGAGTCCCCTGCTGCAAGGGAGACATCAGAGTGAAAAGTGGGGGGAAAGCTTCTAAGAAAAGATCCCAGCATCTTTACAAGGAAAGAGGTTGAGTGAGAAATCTCTCCTGTACTCTTTAACAAGACTCTGCTGAAGCCTGGGGCAGCAGGACCTTGTTCATGTCCACACACATGGACAGACTTCAAGGGTGGGTCAATAAAAGCCCTTTCCTTGTCCTTTGAGACTTGCCTCAAATATTCTATGTGTTCACACAAAAGAAAGCCAAACTGCTTTTCCTCTGAACTGATGTTTAAGCAGTTGTTATTTCTGTAGCCCTTGGATGAGAAGTTACACGTGTTTTGGTAAGGGTCTTTGGCAACTGAAGCATCTGAGGAATATTCTTGTTCTTTCTAACTTTCAAAAGCAATCAACTAAATCTCAAGTGATAAAAATAAGCTAAGTTATAAAGAATAATTATTAACATAAATTTAATTATGAAACGACAGACATACACAGATGATTAGGAGCTCAGTGCACAGCCAAATCTCAAAGTGAAGAAGCCAAGCACTGGGCACACTCTGCACTATAAAGAGATAACCCCAGCACCACACACGCCTCCCTGCCACCACCACGCACGCCTCCCTGCCACCACCACGCACGCCTCCCTGCCACCACACAGCCTTTGCCAGCCGAGGCTTTGAGGCACAGACAACGTTATTACCTGCATCAGCTGCAGCCAGCTGGGAAGGGTTCTTGGGTCCACTTGGGCTCTTCTGGAAGTCGTCAAGACTTTGTGTCGTCCTCCCTTTTTTTCCTGCAATGGAGATGGAAGCAGTTACCCTTATATAAAAACTACAGCCAACCAGACACACCTTTTCCTCCCAACCTCCACGTCTCATGAGCAGGCATCCCGCTATACTCTTGATCTTTGCAAGCAACACCCAGCTGCCACCTCTCTTGATTTATATGAGGTAACGTCACCACTGACTTGGCCAGTTGCCGTTTCCCTTTGTGGCCTGGATCACTCGGGTGCCGCGTTTTTCCCCCCCTTAGTCTGTCTTTAAAAGGATGCCCCATGATGGTGGCCCCAGTGGGGATCCTCATGCATTGAGGAAACCAACTTTCTAGAAATCATGAGAAGTACTGAAGCATCTAAATCTGACAGGAGGCTGATGGGGCTGTCCATACAGGGAAGGCAGCCCATGGAGCACATGGGCACAGATTCAAGGAGGCTTATAGTAGGAAACAATCTATTTTTCCCAATACCTGAGGAGTTGTGGGGCTTATAATGCTCATTCCTGTTTCAAATGCAACATGGGAAAAAGATTTTTTTGACCAAAAGCAACATGGAGAGTTTGCAGCTACCTGATAAACGTTGGGTTTGTTAAGACCAAGCTTCAAATTTACTTCAGTTGTATCTGTAAAGGGTGTATTGACTGTAAAAAATGAAGTTGTAATGAAATTTTTAAAGCCAACAACAACTATCATGTTGAATAAGCAATGCTTATGCTAGCTGAATGAGGTGAGGGCAGCACGAACACCTGTTTCAAAGGAAAATTTCATCCCACAGTGATGAAAATCTCAGCGGACACCTTGGCCTGGCTTTGCAGAAGTTTCCATTGTGCAGGGCCCCGGGAAGATCTTATCTGGGGACTTTGTTAAGGTTTGGTCACCCATGTTTGACAGGGATGGACTCAGATGGAAACCGGGCAGCAAAGGGCTGCTGAGGCGACTGGGAAACTGGAGAGGGGTTGGTGTGCCCAGCCTTGTGGAACAAAGACAGAGCAGAGATACAATCATTCTCCACAAACACAGGAGAGGGGTAAATGAGGAGAGGAGAGGAGCTCGGGGACAATGTTGGCACAGGAACAAACACAAGCCAACGTGTGCAGGTTGCAGTTAGGAGAAAGCTGCTACCACCACGGCAGGTTTGGGGCTCACTGTCCCCTGGGAATACAGAAGTCAGTAAAAGTCATCTTGGGATGCTCTTTGATACCGCACAAAGTGTCTCCTTGCAGTAACAGCAAAGTGCTCTCACCGAGCAGGAAGGTCCTTCAGCACGTCTGACTCCATCCCAGAAACGCTGCATGAGCTCTTGTTTGATTTAACACACACTCAATCTGGACTGCACGTGCTGTGCCCATGACAGTCTGCTCCCAGAAACAGGGAATGAACTCAGCCCCTCTGAGAAGGCTGGAGCAGCAGAGTGAAGTGAAGCGAAGAATCAGCTCCCCCAGAAGATGCCCACTGAGATCACAACTGCAGCGCTTGGTCAGCAGGGAAGAGACCTGGAGCAACGCTGCAGCCCAGGCCCTTTGTGGGGTGCAAAGTGCAGAGCCACACAAGCCAGGTCCTTCCCACATCCAACCCCCAGCTCCAGTCCTGCTTTCCCCATTTTCTCCCCAGGTGCCTCAGTGTGATTTACACTTATGAGTTCTACTGCTGACTCTGCTGTTTGCCCTAATGTGCTCCTGCTGCCTGGGACACCATATCCATATTTCTCCTTTTTTGTTCCCTTTCAAAGACTCTCATCCAAGGTTGAGCAGTCACCAATGTTCACAGTGAAGCATTCAGGAGACTCTGCTCTGGCCTTGTACAGGCTACAGGAATATCGCTGCTGGCACAAATCAGCTCCTGAGCACGTACAAAAGCAGATTTCCAGATGGTTTCAGACATGCCACCGTGTGCACAATAAACACCTGAGTCGCTGCACAGGCCCAACACGACTGCATGCTCAGATCAGATCATCTCACCGTTAAAGAGCCGATATCTGTGTTCGTACCTGACACTCATGTGTTGTTCCAAGAGCAGCGAGCAGCCGTCGTAAGGAAAGCGGCACATTTTGTACACGGCTGCAGATATTTCCTCTTGCTGCGCAAGTTTTTCTTGTTCAGTCATATCCTCTGCCTCCCTCTCACACACCTATATTTCATTCTCTCCTTGCAGCAGTGATTTAGATATCACTTACCAGGAGGCTGAATTCCGTTCTGCAGTGACAAGGGAATATATATTAAAATGAAGCATTGCAAGAAATGCTAGAAGAGATTATCACAACACAAATGCCGGAAAGTGGAAGGGCTTATGAAAAGACTGACGCCTGCAGAGGAAGGATGCTGCAGAGCAGCTTCTGGCATTCAGAACTACAGCTCAGAAAGATGGCAGGTTAAAAAGCAAGAGAAACTTTAGAAGAGCAATATTAAAGTAAATAACTGTTATAATTTATTAAGTATGATTAAATTCATTGATATTTTTTCTCAAATGCTCAGAACCATAGAAGCCTAGGGAAAACTTAGGAGAATTGCATAGATCTCAAAATAAAATGCTGAGCAATATTAAATAACAAAAAAAAAAAAGAAAAGAAAAGAAAAATTTTTCCACCACAGTTTGAAGAACACTACCACATTTTTATGACAAATGGTGGTTTTGGGACACTCCAGAGGACTTTAGCTCAGAA